TGTTGGATATATTTGCCGCCTTGAGTTACTTGTAAAAATAATAAAGGCAGAATACCAACAAACAAAGAGCACAGAGTCTCCTTGGGGCCTGTAAAATCCCTCTTTTTTTTGTGGTCAGCTGCAGCAACGGCAAAGATAAATTAGGAACCGCATCAATATTCACGTATCCTAATACACGTATCCTAACCTCACAAACACGCACCCAATTTGCACGCACCCTAGCACGGGGGGTCCCCAATCACCGGGCTGTGGCCCATTCAGAACCGGGACCGTGGAAGCGGCAAGCCAGGGCACATGCACGGCTGCATTTGCACGAGCGGCGGGCATGCGCGCTCGCCGCTCACGCAAATGGAGCTGCGTGCATGTACTGGCTCCCCGCTGCATCTGCGGCCCCAATCTTCTCCCCCTCCACCACCACCCATTGGTCCTCAAAGCCCAAAAGGGTGAAGACCATTGTCTTAATACACCAGTGGTTCTCAACCTTTTTAATGTTGCAACCCCCCAACCAGTCGTAAGTCGAGGACTACTCAACCGGTCATAAATCGAGGACTACTCAACTGGTGCAGCACCGTTTGCAGAATGGGACTTTTGGCGGGCTCAGCAGGGCAGAGACAGCCTGGACAATTCCTATTGGCTTTTAAAAGCCAATAGAATTGGACTCTATTCAAGAGAGTCTATTCTATTGGCTTTCCAAAGCCAATAGAATAAAAGGGAGGAGCACAGCTAAGGAAAAGGGGAAAAAAATGGCGGACTGCGTTGTTTGGCGACCCCCGTGAAATGGTCGTTCGACCCCAAATGGGGTCCCGACCGACAGGTAATACACGCAAGCCCCCTTTCCTGGCATTGGCACAAAACATCCACAGCTGAGCCCAATTTGCACGCCAACCACACACGGGGGTAAAAACCAGCCCAACTCCGAGCTGTTAAGAAAAGTGGGTGGTTTTTTTTTATTTTAATAAAAAAAATAGATGTTGGAAATGTAAACATAACTCAGGCACATATTATCATATTTGGTGGACATGTGGTAAAGCAAAGGCTTATTGGAGAAAGATACGTGTTTGATTAGAAAAAATGTTGGGAGAACATGTGGAATTTAAACCTGAACTTTTTCTACTAGGAGGTATAATGCCAGAAAAGACTAATAAACAAAGTTTATAGTTGGCTCTACACGTCATAACAGCAGCAAGAATAGTCTTCGTTCAATATTGGAAAAATGAAGCAGTACCACCAGAGGAAGAAGTAATTTAAAAAATATTGGAATGCGCAAAGATGGACAGATTAACGATGAGATTGAAAGATAAAGAAGAAACATAATACTACCAGATCTGGGAGTCATTCTACAAGTGGCTAGAGAAGTGGTTCTCAACCTTTTTAATGCCGCGACCCCCAACTGGTCGTAAGTCGAGGACTACTGAACCGGTTGTAAGTCGAGGACTACTCAACTGGTGCAGCACCGTTTGCAGAACGGGATTTTTGGCGGGCTCAGCAGGGCAGAGACAGCCTGGACAATTCCTATTGGAATTGAGAACCACTGGTCTAGAGGAAAGAATCAAGGATTGGGAATTGATTATGTATTAGTGCTTTTGAATCCAGACAGCATGCTGGTTGAAAAATTAACACATGTATGTAACAGAAAAACTAATAAAATCCTTATATAAATAAAAAAAAAGAAAATTAAAAAGAAAAAAGAAACGAAATCCCGAGCTCCAGGGAGCCACTACAAGCTGCCGGGGTCACCTTTCCCCTCCCCAGCCTCCATCTTCATTACTTTAATAGTAAAGTTGGAGTCGAAGTAGAATTACAAGCCGACTTTGCCCTGCCCTTGCTCGGAGTCCCTCCTATTAGAACGGACATCAGTTCGAAGATGCTTGTTGCAGCCAAGATGCCAGCCAGGTTCAGGCACCGGACTGGAGTCTAACCAGCCTTGTCCCAACTCAACCCAGCTCAGCTTTGGAGTTACAGATGCCCAGAGAATAAAAGAACCACGGAGTGGGAGGGGACCTTGGAGGTCTTCTAGTCCAGCCCCCTGCCCAAGCAGGAGATCCTACACCAGAGGTCTCCAAACTTGGTAACTTTAAGACTTGTGGACTTCAACTTCCAGAATTCCCCAGCTGGCGTGACTGACTGGGGAATTCTGGGAGTTGACGTCTACAAAGAATGGAATGGAATGGAATGGAATGGAATGGAATGGAATAGAATAGAATAGAATAGAATAGAATAGAATAGAATAGAATAGAATAGAAAATATGGAATGGAATAGAATATAGAATGGAGTGGAGTGCAGTGGAATGGAATAAATAGAATAGAAAATATGGAATGGAATAGAATGTGGAGTGGAGTGGAGTGGAGTGGAATAGAATGGAGTGGAGTGGAGTGGAGTGGAGTGGAGTGGAATGGAATGGAATGGAATAGAATAGAATAGAATAGAATAGAATAGAATAGAATAGAATAGAATAGAATAGAATAGAAAATATGGAATGGAATAGAATATAGAATGGGATGGGATGGGATGGAATAGAATAGAATAGAATAGAATAGAATAGAATAGAATAGAATAGAATAGAATAGAATAGAATAGAATAGAATATGGAATGGAAATAGAACATGGAATGGAAATAGAATAGAATAGAATAGAACAGAATAGAATAGAATAGAATAGAATAGAATAGAATAGAATAGAATAGAATAGAATAGAATAGAGTAGAATAGAATAGAGTAGAATAGAATAGAATATAGAATGGGATGGAATAGGATGGGATGGGATGGGATGGGATGGGATGGAATAGAATAGAATAGAATAGAATAGAATAGAATAGAATAGAATAGAATAGAATAGAATAGAATATGGAATGGAAATAGAACATGGAATGGAAATAGAATAGAATAGAATAGAACAGAATAGAATAGAATAGAATAGAGAAGTAAGATTTTTATTCTACACTTCCTCATATATTTAATGTCTTTTTGTAATGGCTTCTTGGGCAAAGTAGTCCTTGAGGTTTCACCCCAAATAATAATAATAATAATAGTAGTAGTAAAGTTGGAAGGGACCTTGGAGGTCATCTAGTCCAACCCCCTGCTCGGGCAGGAAACCCTACACCATTTCGGACAAACGGCTGTCCAGTCTCTTCTTAAAAACTTCCAGTGTTGGAGCATTTACTGCTTCTGGAGGCAAGGAGTTCCACTGGTTGATTGTTCTAACTGTCAGGAAGTTTCTCCTTAGTTCTAGGTTGCTTCTCTCCTTGATTAGTTTCCACCCGTTGCTTCTTGTCACAGATTTCCACGGCTAACCCAGGCAGTCATTAAGTGAGTTTTTGCTGCCTTTTACGACCTTTCCTGCATGGTTGTTAAATGAATCACTATAGTTATGTTAGTAACAAGGTTAAGTGAATCTCGTCTTAAATCATTCGCTTAATGACCGGTCAAAGTTACAACGGTGCGGAAAAAAGGGACCTAGGACCGTTTTTCACACTTACGACCGTTGCGGCCTCCCCCGGGGTCACCGTGATCAAAATTCAGATGTTCGGCAACCGACTTGTATTTACGACGGTCGGAGCGTCCCCGGGATCAGGTGATCCCCTTTTGCGACTTTCTGACATGCAAACTCAACGGGGGAAGGCAGGTTCACTTAACGACCGTGTGACTAGACCCCTGGTGGCACAGTGGCAGTATTGCAGGCTAATTCTGTCCACAGCCAGCAGTTCGATCCTGATCTATTCTATTCCATTCCATTCCATATTTTCTATTCTTTTTTTATTATTATTATAAATTTTTAAAATTTTACAATAAAAACCCCTTCCCCAATCCCACCCAACCCACCCCAAAACCCTCCCCCATTCTTCCCAGAGCTGAATACAGGGTTAACTAGAACTTAAAAGAAAAAAACTTTTAAACCCAAAAAAACCTTAAACAAATATAATTACATTCAGTAAACTAATTATTAAATACTTTAACTCCATTATGTATAAAAAACAGAAAGAGAAAAAAAAGAAAATAATTTTTTTAAAAAAAATATTAATAATAATAATAAAAAACACAAAAAATCTTAAACTTTAAATATAAATTATTCAAAAGCTAAATGATATTTTCTTATATCATAGTTATAATGTATAAAATTTATCCATCTTTTCCACACCAAGAGATACTTCTCTTGTGATTGATCTTTCAAGAAAGCCGAAATTTTTGCCATTTCAGCTAAGTAAGAAACTTTAAAAAAACATTCTTGCAAAGTAGGCAAAGATTCCTTCTTCCAATATTGCCCTATTAACAACCTTGCCCATATTTTCTATTCTATTCCATTCCATATTTTCTATTCTACTCTACTCCATTCCACATTTTCTTTTCTTTTCTATTCTATTCTATTTTATTCTATTCTATTCTATTCTCTATTCTATTTTCTTATTCTATTCTATTCTTCTATTCTATTCTTCTATTCTATTCTATTCTATTCTATTCTATTCTATTCTATTCTCTATTCTATTTTCTTATTCTATTCTATTCTATTCTATTCTTCTATTCTATTCCATTCTATATTTTCTATTCTATTCTATACTCTATTCCATTCCATTCCATATTTTCTGTTCTATTCTATTCTATTCTATTCTATTCTATTCTATTCTATTCTATTCTATTCTATTCTATTCCGTATTGCATTGCATTGCATTCTCTATTCCATTCCATTTTCTGTTCTGTTCATTCCACTTCACTCCATGTTCTATTCCAGTGGTTCTCAACCTTTCTAATGCCGCGACCCCATAATACAGTTCCCCATGTTGTGGTGACCGCCAACCACTTATACATCACCGGGTGCCAGGGGCGTGGCCAAAGAAAAGAGGGAAGAAATGGCGGACAGCCTTGTTTGGCGACCCCCGTGAAATGGTCGTTCGACCCCAAATGGGGTCCTGACCCACAGGTTGAGAACCACTGTTCTACTCCATCTTATCCCATCCCATCCCATTCTGTAGTGAGAAACAAATCAAAGGCGTAAATTGCCCCCTTACCTCTCTGCCTCTTCCTTAACAATGGCAAACTGAGTCGGCTGCCGACTGGGCCGGTTCTGCTCGGGAACCTTCTCTCCCGCCTCCAGCTCCTGCTCCAGAGAGGAGCTGGTGCTCCCTTCTCGGCTGACATTGGTGCTGTGCCCGGGGCTGTTCTCGGCCGAGGCCCGGGGGGACTCCGTGTTCTGCTTCAGGGTCTGGAGTTTGGCCAGCGGGATGATGTCGCAATTCTGCGGCCGGTGCCACACCGTCCGCTGGGTGGTGGCATTGTAGTAGTAGAAGCGGGAGGTGTTGGGGTCAAAGAGCTCCCACCACTGGTTCTCGTTGGTCCGCTTGATGCGGACGCCGGCGGGAGGGTCCCAGACGCACTCGCCCGTGATCAGGTTGGCGTACATGCGCTCCCGCGTGCGAGGCTCAATGATTTCCACCCATTCCAGCCTGCAGGAGAACAAGCGCAAGGAGAGAGGGAGCAGGAGCGGGAGAGAGAAAGAGGAAGAAAGGGAGAGAGGAGAGGGGGGGGAAAGCGCACATTAGAAGTTGGCATTTATTGATGTCACTGCTTTTCCTTTTTTCTTTTCCCTTGCTAATTTTATTGTTCTATTATAATTTTACTTTCGCTTTGTTTAAACTTCTGTTGGGAGGGGGGAGGAGAGGGGAGAGGGAGGGGGAGGAGGGAGGAGAGGAGAAGGAAGGAGGAGGGGGAGAAGGACGGGGAGGAGGGAGGAGGGAGGAGGGAGGAGGGAGGAGGGAGGAGGAGGAAGGAGGAGGAAAGAAGAAGAGGGAGACAGGGAAGGAGGGAGGAGGGAGGAGGAGGGGGAGAAGGACGGGGAGGAGGGAGGAGGGAGGAGGAGGAAGGAGGGGGGAAGGAAGGAGGAGAAGGGAGAAGGAGAAGAGGGAGGAGGGAGAAGGAGGAGGGAGGGGGAGGGGGAGGAGGGGAAGAGGGGAATGGAGGAGGGGAGGAGGAAAGAAGGGAGGAGGAGGAGGGGGAAGAGGGGAGGGGAGGAGAGAGGAGAGAGGAGGAGGAAGGAGGAGGAAGGAGAAGGGAGGAGGGGGAAGAGGGAGGGGGAGGAGGGAGGAGGAGGGGGGAGAAGGGGAAGAGGGGAGAAGAGAGGAGGGGAGGAGGAGGGGAAGAGGAAGGAGAAGGGAGGAGGAGGGGGGGAGGGGGAGGAGAGAGGAGAGGAGAGAGGAGAGAGGAGGAGGAAGGAGGAGGAAGAAGAGGGAGACGGGAAAGGAGGGGCAGGAGGAAGAAGGGAGGAGGGGGGAAGAGGGAGGGGGAGGAGAGGAGAGCAGAGAGGAGAGAGGAGGAGGAAGGAGAAGAGGGAGACAGGGAAGGAGGGAGGAGGAAGGAGGAGGGGAGGAGGAGGGAGGAGGAGGGGGGGAGAAGGGGAAGAGGGGAGAAGGGAGGAGGGGAGGAGGAGGGGAGGAGGAAGGAGAAGGGAGGAGGAGGGGGGGAGGGGGAGGGGGAGGGGGGAGGGGGAGGAGAGAGGAGAGGAGAGAGGAGAGAGGAGGAGGAAGGAGGAGGAAGAAGAGGGAGACGGGGAAGGAGGGAGGAGGAAGGAGAAGGGAGGAGGGGGAAGAGGGAGGGGGAGGAAAGGAGAGCAGAGAGGAGAGAGGAGGAGGAAGGAGAGGGAGACGGGGAGGAGGGGAAGGAGAGGGGAGAGGGAGGGGGAGGAGGGAGAGGGAGGGGGAGGAGAGAGGAGAGGAGAGAGGAGGAGGAAGGAGAAGAGGGAGACAGGGAAGGAGGGAGGAGGAAGGAGGAGGGGAGGAGGAGGGAGGAGGGAGGAGGAGGGGGGGAGAAGGGGAAGAGGGGAGAAGGGAGGAGGGGAGGAGGAGGGGAGGAGGAAGGAGAAGGGAGGAGGAGGGGGGGAGGGGGAGGGGGAGGGGGAGGGGGAGGGGGAGGGGGAGGAGAGAGGAGGAGGAAGGAGGAGGAAGAAGAAGGAGACGGGGAAGGAGGGAGGAGGAAGGAGAAGGGAGGAGGGGGAAGAGGGAGGGGAAGGAGAGGAGAGCAGAGAGGAGAGAGGAGGAGGAAGGAGAGGGAGACGGGGAGGAGGGGGAGGAGGAAGGAGAGAGGAGAGAAGAGGAGGAAGGAGGAGGAAGAAGACTTGGAAGGAGGGGGAGGAGGGGGAGGAGGAAGGAGATGGGGGAGAGGACGAGAGGAGGAAGAAGGAGGGGGGAAAAGGGAGGAGGAGGAGGGAGGAAGAGGAGGAGGGGGAGGTGAAGAATTTCCATCCTGCGACAATATCTGTAACACCATCCAACATCCAGATCTGCCCATCCCAGGTCCTTGGAAAGAACTCGACCAGTAGATAAAAATGCCAACCCCACTCTGAACATCGGCTGACGGTACGACAAACCATAATAACCAACAACAACAACAACAACACGAGCCAGAATTGAGAAGACAGCAAAACCAAAATCGAGAAGACACGGACAGGCAGTTAAGTGCCGCCTACGCAAAGAAGCTGGAGAAACAGTGGAGCACCTGGTAAGCAGCTGCAAGAAGCTCGCCCAGACGGACTACAAGCAGCGGCACGACAAAGTAGCAACAATGGGTGCACAGGAAAACGTGCAAGAAATATCATTTGCCTGCAAGCCAGAATTCTGGGAGTTGAAGTCCACGAGTCATAAAAGAGGCGAGGTTGCCTACTCCTGGTCTAAGAACTCCTGCTTAAGCAGTGTGTTGGACTAGATGACCTCCAAGGTCCCTTTCAACTTTGTTATTCTGTTATGCTGTACAGGTTGTCCTCGACGTATGAGCACAAGGGAGCCCCACATTTGGCTTGTTAAATGAGTTTTACCCCCTTTTACAGCCTTTCCTGGCACAGTTTCTTAAGTAAATCATTGTAGTTGTTAACTTAGTAACCCAGTCATTAAGTGAATCTGGCTTCCCCATTGACTTTTGCTTGTCAGAGTGTCGCAAAAGGGGATCACGTGACCCCGGGACACTGCAACCGTCGTAAGTACATGCCAATTGCCAAGGGTCTGAATTTTGATCACGTGACCGTGGAGATGCTACAACGGTCATAAGGGTGAAAAACAGTCCTAAGTCACTTTTGTAACCTCGGTCACAACATGAACGCGTATAAGTTGAATAATAATAATAATAATAATAATACAAAGTTGGAAGGGACCTTGGAGGTCATCTAGTCCAACCCCCTGCTCAGGCAGGAACCCTACACCATTTCAGACAAATGGCTGTCCAGTCTCTTCTTAAAAACTTCCAGTGTGGGAGCATTCACCACTTCTGGAGGCAGGTAGTTCCACTGGTTCATTGTCCTCACTATCAGGAAGTTTCTCCTTAGTTCCAGGTTGCTTCTCTCCTTGATTAATTTCCATCTGTTGCTTCTTGTCCTGCCTTCGGGTGACTTTGGAGAATAGCTTGACTCCCTCTTCTTTGGGGCAGCCCCTGAAATACTGGAAGACTGCTATCCTGTCCCCCCTCATCCTTCTCTTCATTAAACTAGACATCCCCAATTCCAGCAACCGTTCCTTGTATGTTTTAGCCTCCAGTACTCCGTGTACTCATGGATTTCAACTCCCAGAATCCCAGAATTGTGGGAGTTGAAGTCCTCAAGTCTTAAAAGCTGCCAATGTTGGACAACTGGGCGTCCTGCTCGAGCCGGGGGTTGGACTACAAGACCTCCGAGGTCCCTTCCAGCTCTTGTCATTCTCTATTAAAACAAGGCCGCCTTGGCCAAGCTCACAAATTACACTCAACCACAAGTGAAGTGCTATCCACCCGGTAAAGGACCACTGGCAGCTCTCCGTTCCAATCCACGGCCTGTCCAAGATTTACAAATGGAGTAAATAAACTGGAATCAACGAGCCGTGATTTACAAATCCTGCCGCCCGCGTCCAGCCAAGGAGCTGAGCCGGAGCCCAGCCATGTGGCTTCTTTCCATCATTAAAACCCAAATGTCAGCGGTTATTTCCCCGTCGCCAGCAGAGGCCTCGCCTGGCAGAGAGTTCCGCCTGCCTGTATCCAAACAGCAGCTCAACGAAGCACACAAACGCACAAACGGGCACGCACCGCGCACTTCGAGGCCCATCTGTTGTGTTTTCCAAGCAACAATTAAAACGGAGGCTACTCAGATTTGGTAATGAATTCTCTCCGGGGTTCTGGAAGGCCCGTCAGCCCTGGCTCTCTGTTGCCGGGACCCGATGTCGGTGTGTGTCTGTGCAACAACTCCGCATTGTGGTGTACTTAAATTTCTTTTTTTTTTCCTTCCTTTCTTTTTTTCTTTCTTTCTTTCTTTCTTTTTCTTTCTTTCCTTCTTTCCTTCCTTCCTTTTTCTTTCTTTCTTCCTTCCTTTTTCTTTCCTTCCTTTCCTTCCTTCCTTTCTTTCTTTTTTTCTTTCTTTCCTTCCTTCCTTTCTTTCCTTCCTTCCTTTCTTCCTTCCTTCCTTTTTCTTTCCTTCCTTTCCTTCCTTCCTCTTTCTTTCTTTCTTTCTTCTTTCTTTCCCTTTCTCTTTCTTTCTCTTCCTTCCTTCCTTTCTTTTTCTTTTTTCCTTCCTTCCTTCCCTTCTTTCCTTCTTTCTTTTCTTTCTTTCCTTCTTTCCTTTCTTTCTTTCCTTCCTTTCTTTCTTCCTTCCTTTTTCTTTCCTTCCTTTCCTTCCTTCCTCTTTCTTTCTTTCTTCTTTCTTTCCCTTTCTCTCTTTCTTTCTCTTCCTTCCTTCCTCTTTCTTTTTCTTCCTTCCTTACTCTTTCTCTTTTTCTTTCTTTCCTTCCTTCCCTTTCTTTTTCTTTCTTTCTTTCCTTCTTTCCTTTCTTTCTTTCTTTCCTTCCTTTTTCTTTCTTTCCTTCCTTCCTTTCTTTCTTTCTTTCTTCCTTCCTTTTTCTTTCCTTCCTTTCCTTCTTCCTTTCCTTTTTCTTTCTTTCCTTCCTTCCTCTTTCTTTCTTTCTTTCTCTTTCTTTCTTTCTTTCTTTCTCTTCCTTCCTTTCTTCCTTTCTTTCTTTCTTTCTTTCTTTTCCTTCCTTTCTTCCTTCCTTCCTTTCTCTCTCTCTCTCTCTCTCTCTCTCTCTCTCTTTCTTTCTTTCCTGTTATGGCTCCTCTGCTTTTCGCGGTACATTCCAATTTGCTACAAGCCACTCTGAATCCGGAGGGGAACATTGTGATGAGAGCATTGTTCCGGTTGCTGTAGGAACGGCAAACGGGTTTTGCTGGGCTTCGGAAGCGCAATTCTGGCATCTTTGATGCACCGTCGTGGCCCAGAATTGTCCGTTTTCATTGTCGGGCCTTCAGCTGCCACGCAGAGCGGCATCTCCCAGGAAACACGACGGCGTTGCGTTGCTGCTTTCATTGCGTCGTGCGAAGATTCCCCAGCCTTGGGGCTATCCATTGGAGGAGCAAAGAGAAAGAAGGTGAGGGCTCCGTGGAGCTCTCTGAGCCTGGGGGGCTTCCTGCAGACATTCTATTATGCAACCAGCTAGGAGGCACC